AGGCGCTCAGCGCGGAGCAGGGGTAGCGTCAGGTGCACCATAACATAGAGCGAGGCACAGCGCCGTTGCGGTGCCGCCATAACTGTTTCAGGCCTTCGATGAGATGATGCCGGTTTGTGTTGTTAGATCGTTGTACTCTCACGCGTCCATTACGACGTCTACACGGCTCCTCGCCACACTTCTCGTAGATTTTGTTTAAATGGATAACAGCGGTAATTATCATGGCAAACAGCAATTTGCTCTGAATTCAATAGAATTTAACGCTATAAAGTGACACAGAGGTTACCTGATACACATCGGAGATCTTGTAGTATATAATTTTCTACAACATGGGAAAAGTTAAAAGGAAGTTTTTCTACCTTTGCTACTAGCATTTTTAATGGAGTCATTGAAAGCTTTTTTTTTTTTTACATTCAAGCATTACTTATTATGCTCCTCTTTATTTATGTTCCTTATTTCAGTATTATATAATACTAACAGGGGCGTTTGCAGGACGTTGCCGATACAGCAGGCGCAGCGTCGCTGACAGAACATAATGTATTCTGTGAAAGTGACACAAATTTCTTCGCTAGAATTGTCAACGCTCAAATTAAATTATAAAGCGTATCTACATACAGTTGTATGGCCTCCGTTAGAACCGTTACTTAAGCGACGTTCGAAGCGTCGAAAGAACCCGCTAACGTCTTCAAACTCTGTGTTTATAGTCACAAACTTTTTGTGGGTCCCTCACAAGATAAAATGGTACCTACATAACAATTCATGTATTTCTTGACAGAAGGCTCTGAGACCGTAAATAGTCCCATTGAAATCTACGGCTGTACGGATTGTCAATCATTAGCATGCCGGGCAAAGTTTCATTCAGATATTTTTCAATGTATGCAAGACTTTGCCTTCACAGTTCCTGTCATTTCGTTGAGCTCGTAACGACGGCTTGACCACGAAGGACCGCGTCGTACTGAGCGAAGGTCTTGTGACACTTCGTCATCACCAACTATGATATTATGCATGTAATAAATTGGTCTTATTAGACAATGGCCAAGAGGACGGTAGAAACACACAAAAATTTGGACGCGCATATGGCATCGTTGCTTTGCTCGCTGTCCTTTCGAATTTCATTTAGAGCATACAACAACATGGAGAAAAACGCAGACTTGTTACTTGTCATTAGTATGCTTGGTATCATTGAGGTTTGCTCTTACTAGCTTCATAGTCTTCCTTAATTGCGAAACAGGCATTGGCTGTACAATTTGGCTAGTTAATAATCGCACCGACTGAGAACTGTAAGTAGAAAATTAAAAAATTGGTGGTAGTAAATATCTAGGTAAGCGAGGCAGTAAATAAAATACGCCTGTCTCAGCGAAGAATGAAAGTAAATTATAAGAACTTACATATCGATGCCTAAAACGTATTCCTTATGACACTGAGACAACGTCAAAGCAAATCTAGACACCGACATCGGTTAGTCAAACAAAAGAGGAAAGAGTCAGAAGCTTCACAAAACGAAATCTACTGGGATGAGTCCAGCTGGAATTACTGACAAGTTAAATCTTCACAGCATTACTTTGTGTTTTTGCTGAAGTCATCATCGGCAACTGGGCCACTGTGAAGCGTTCGACTGCGTCTGTAGACAGAAAAACGATTGCCGCTCTGATATATGGTCCGCACGTCGTTACCGGCCACAATAGAGTGCTACATTAACTTCCCAAGCACACATCGATTTGTGGAACGGCGAGAAAAGTGGGCTATTACTTATAAAACTAATGGTAGAACTACCTCCGATAGTCACCAAGCTGCGACTGCTACAAAAGGGAATACAGTTGTGTATCTTACGTGAGACGTCCACGCCTACTGGAGTTATGGCGGAACAGTACCGGCCCAGCCCCATGGTACCTATCTTTTTTCTCATTCCAATCACATAAACACGGCGGTATTACCGGCAATCGTGTCTAATAACTAGATATACATTGAGATAGCGTGAAAATCAATGTCCTCGTTCGTTTTCAACAACAAGAAGCACGAGCGCCACTGCTAAGACACAGAAACACTTAACAAAAACAAATAGTTAATGAAAAGCTAATGCGTAGCAATGATGTGCAGCAGTTATTGCCTATCACGGATTTGCTTTTCTAAATCGCACGTATGGCCTTACTGCATTCACTTGGTCCTGGTCGTACGCCATGTACGCTGTTAAATATAAAAAAAATTGAGATTTGATATTATAACAAGTTGTATTATTATTATTATTAGATAGCTGTTCAATATTGCAACGTTACGTTCGATAAAAATGTTTGTTTCTAAAAAATCTGTTATTATTCGTACAATACACGTACGGCGATGACTATTGGTTTGTTATTTAGTTGATGACGGTCGCATGATGAAAACGCCTTAGACGTTTAGCTACACACTGGCTTCTGGGAGAATCTCTCTCCGAGATGCGTAAGTTGAATGGTCATTGAATCGTATCGAATATTATAGGGGACTGATGTGGGATATTGATGATAAAATAACTGGGTTGTCGAAGAGCTTGTGTATCTTTGACCGAATGGAAAGTCAACGATGGCCATAACCTCGTCGATGAGGAACACTAATCGAGGCCACTGATAAACGGGAAGAAAGTGAATTTAACGAAGTTTTGATAATGCACACTTTCATAAATCTACTTTCTAAATACTATTGATCCGTTTAACGACTGTGCTATAATAACAACCGTCTTGCACCAGTAGATAGCAAAAAAAAATATCATGGTCGTTGCCAATGCATCATCTATATTTGATCTATCACAGCTACTTTTCTGTCATACCAATATGAAACCATGGGTCTAAGAGCATTCGAATTTAGCTATACGAACTCAACCCACCGCTCAAATACCCGCTCCTATATCAGAGAGGAACGTGTTCCCAAACCAATACACATATCGTTATTCCGGATTTTCCGTACACTCATTGGCGTCTAGGGAGATGTTCCTTCAGACATCTGTACTCATCTTAAGACGTTGGATCGCAGAAATCATTTCCGTCATCACGAGTTGTCGTAGTCAATTATCGCAATTAATTGGTACTATTTGTGGAAACGTCTTCTTCACCGATAATGGTCCATCGCAGATCTCTACATTATAAGAGACATTACTACTTATATGGCGAGTATCGCTTATGTTTCTTTGAGGTTTCAGTTTGTCCGTTCCACGCTACTTCCCACCTTCATCATACTCCGCACCAGTGGCTACGGTCATTGCCGCTTACCTCGTTTCTATAACTTTTCTGTGAAAAGACCCACTGCGGTAATCCACAGATATGCAATCGATGTCGTACAAAGATGGCTAGATTGTTGTATGGCAAGTTCGTTTTTCTAGTTGTCCTACACTGAGGCACTGTGAAAGGTCCTTCCTGCGTCGTAGTTCAATGCGTAGGACCTCGTTGCATTTCAAATCAGTGTATCCTCAAATCGCTAGTTGTATCGCACTTAATTCACAGTCCATATGCGTTGTTTTCCCTATTTCTATCACACTGTCTTTTCGCCTAGTTTCGTCAAGCCGCCCGGCCGAGCCAAACCGATCCTCTTTGCTTCTGCTGGTACCGAGTAGCATCACCCCGAAACACTATGGCGCTTTACTGGTAGGCTCTGACGCATATTGCGACTAGCGATATTGTTTATTTTTGTCATTGTAGCTGTAAACTGTGGCTGTATTACTACAGTCCTCTTGAAACGCTTCAGCAGAGACTGCAGATTCGTCCGCTTGCAGCATGGTACGACTGGACGCGGTGCCTCGAGGTATGCCGTCTTCTGTTCCACTATGTGCCGCAATAGTTTTCGTGCGGGCCTTCCCTGTAGGACCTAGCAGTACGCGACCGCTATCATTGCCTACATCTACTTCGTATTTCCATTGCAGTGCATGCGTCGAACCATTTCATTCGGCAACATTCTTATTGCTATCGACAGGTTCTCCTATTATTAACTACAACTGCAGCTTGGACAACAATGTTATTGAATTGCAATTGGAATAACTTGCCGATCGTTGGCTTTACCCACCATAGCAACACCATGCTGAACAATGCTGCCTTCTATAACGAAGCCACCAACGACGTCGTGGCCTCATGACTTCAATATTGCAGAGCAGCCTCGGCGTCTTCACGGTTTACCAGCGGCAGTAACAGTAGCCACTCCAAATATAATAGCAGACCATCAAAGTGAATTGTAAGACCTTCAATCGTGTCATGTTTTCGGCATTTTTCTTTCACCGCCGTTTTTACCTCGACCAGCTGCATGCGAGCGCGCAGCAATAGAAGCGGTCCATTGAAGTGATGCAGACCCTCCACGACGTATCCTCTAATAGCAACAGCGGTAGCCTAGTGCTGTTGTTATTGTCATTATTATGGTTGTGATCTAAGTTGGTTTAACCTGACAATCATTGTCAGGCCGCCGCCGATCGCGAGGCGAAACAACGAAGCTGTTTGTCTGTCAGAGATGTCAGGAAATTGCCAATCATCACGTCTAGGCTGGTCTATTACTGCTGGCGGTAGTAGGTGTATAAGTGGTCTTGCTTTTCAAACGACGGGGCGGGCGTCGGACTTAAACACGTTAAGCTCTGACGAGCGATCTCTGATGAATAGTGTCACCATTAGAAAACGAATACATAAGAACGCGCGCAAAGTTTATGCGGACGTTCAGAGAAAGATATGAACCAGGTTCCGACGGAAACCCGTGCATGTATGTCGATATACAGCTGAGTGATACGACACATATTACTAGATTTATGTGACATATATAAGTGTGACAGGCGGAGTGACCCGCATGAACGATGTAGAGCGATTGAGTTTCCCTATCGAAATACACGATGGCAGATGGCAGATTTTTTCACAAACAGCCCTGAGGTAATAGTGACTACTATGATTCTTTTTATTCTGAACTACGAGCTCAAGTATCGCTCAAACGTTCAGGTTGAATGAACAAACGCAGGCGGAGTGATAAATCAACAGAGTAATATTATGTCCATTGCATGTACATCAATTGCCAATGCATCTTTCATCAATTTAAATAGAACTGTTGTCGTCGTGGTCATCCGAAGCTGTAGATGCTCATATGCATTAAGTGGGCATTCAGATGTAATGATTCTCTCACGTAACGTGTTTAAGAGATACGTCTACAGCTTCAACAACGACGCAGGTCGCTTCGGAGTTTGTTGAGTTATGCAGCAGAGATCACTTCGACGGTAACGATTTATCCCTGTAATAGTGCAGCAGGTAATGCGTGTATGTGTTAAAATTAAAAATACATGGTGGTCTAGGTTCGAATCCGGCCGTGGACACGATTCGTTTCGTGCTGGAAGCCAGCCGTCTGAAGTAACATCTGACGGCTTACGTCGGGATAGAAAAGCATGAGAATTACTATTTTAGTGGTAGCAAATAACTGCTAGTGTCCAATGTTAATAATGCGTTATCTGTGACGAGTAGGAGCTGTGGAAGCAGCAGAAGAAACGTAATTTACAATACAAGACAATGTCTTTAGTGGATCATGTGGCCTGATTAATTACAGCAGTGCAGAGGAAAGAAGGATCTTAAGCAATGCAAGTGTATGAGAAGCACACGTAGATTCGAGCAGAAAAAAAACGGTCACAGAATCAATTGTGAAGCTGTGTTTAGCATATAGTTAAGATCATCTGGAAACTACTGCTTTTTGATGTTATTTAACTAGATAGTTCGGCTACTTTTCCAGCATGCTGCGAAGCTGATTAGAACCTGCTGCGTTGCTCAAGAAAGAAGCAAGCTTTCTTTATGAGAGAGAGAGATATCTGTACTGGGGGAGCTGTAAAAAGATAAATCATTATAACGAAAATATATACGCTTTTTCTGTTTTTATCTTTCGATAGTTTTTGTACGATATACACGCTGTGTTCTCTAAGGTGTTACTTAGGTAGGAAAAGCGCTTCTGTATTCACCAGTAAGGTTAGGATCGAAGTATTGTTGAGGTTACTGTCTACCGTGTACTGCCCGTCTAAGTTTTCACCTTCTGTCGTTTCGTGATCAGACAGCTTAGCAATAACCTAAACATTTGCTATATTGATATTTTTAGTGAAACGCTAGCTTAGGTCACGTGTTAAATCCAAAGAACTGCGCCGAGCGCCTAAATCGGTTGTTCTACTGGATCACGTTTTTGATCAGGTAAGCAAATCTCAGTTGATCATATCAAATAAATATAGTAAATCATACTAATGAAGTATTATCATACATCGTCACTTTTCATGTTATCTGCTGATAAGATTGATGTAGATTCAGTCATGCACAAAAATACCTAGAAATTTCAGTACATGTATATCTAACGCGACTTGGGCACCGAAAATATACCAGGAGAGACTAGTTTTCAGGCGTTTACGTGCTATTATAACAAGTTACTTCTTACACTAGGAACAGCCACGGATACGAAGCAATAGCTAGAATAACATCGGGCATGGTTTCAATGCTGGGGCCTCTTTAAAACAATATGTTAACAGGGGATAGCAAAAACTAAGCGAAATATAATCATGCATTAAGCTACATATATACGTACAACTTACGTCACGGTGAGCGTAACGAGCTGGCTTCATGCCGGAGCCTCTACTATGCCTCCTCCGCGGGTGATGGATAAGTTAAATGGGACTTCGCAGTAACCAACGGCGAAGGAGCGTAGCGTGCATTGACTGTGTCGTGCGTAAAGTCGATGAATGAAGTCATATCTTACTTTACCCACTAACAGACAGACCTTCATTTACGATTTGTAGCGGCAACTTCCGTTTCGTTCCACGTCTAATTATATAAACATATATACTAAAATAATGCAGAATACAGGGCTGGCACTAATTTGCTCTCCTTTCTAACAAACGCAACTGTAGGGGATCGCTGGCGATAGAACATGGTGATAATTGAAGGCAACATTTTGGCTATGAAATTTATCGGAAAAAGAGGTTTTAGCTTCTTACAAAGGATGCGAGAGATAGATGGATACTTATGGGTAACTGTCGTAAGAATTTGGGACATTATATGGATGGGAATACTCTTATGTGTAATTACCATTTACAAACTGTCAAATTTAACCTAACATAACAACCCGTTGCCAATTAACTAGATTCAAAGTAGGTTTATGAATGCAGTAAATTGGGTTCAAACAAAAACACTGGGCTATATTAAATCTTCGCTATAGATATTTCATATTAGTGAATCAATAACTATTTTTTTTCTAATAAAAAGCACTCATTTTTTCGTTTAGATACAGAAGCTGCGACTTAGTTTGTCTACTTACCTTAAAGCCTTTTCCGTTAGACTTTAAACACATAATCCATTGACAAGTTTCTAAATCATTTTAAGGAAAATAGGATAAATAACGTAACAATTTTGCTTGCTTGCTTGTCTACGAACCTATTAAATTAATAATATGTCTGAGCGGTACAAACAAATAAACTAGAAACCAAGTTCTGCGTATCAGACCGGAATAAGCCTAGTCTACGGTTGCATTTCTGATGAAATTAATTTTTGTGGCACGAACTTTCCTTCACAATATGACGCGATTTGTTTTGTTTTGCTAACTCTATTACCACTAATAGCCATAGCATAATGCACAGAACTCCGTCATGACGATATGTGCTTAGCACTGCGGCTTGAAGGACAAGTCTTGAGCTTCACGGTTAGATATTGATTCACCCCCTCGAGTTCCCTTCTCTGCGGAGTGTTCTACTATAGAATGGAAAAGGAAATGTATGCTCCTTTAAAACTCATATATTGAGGATTGGTGGTGGCTGGGCTGGGAGCCTTTAAAGGAATTCAATGCCGATGTTGGGTGGTGACGACTGCGGTTCTGTCGTTGCGTTGGTTGACGTCGTTATCGTACCTCCTATCTGCTGATGGCCGCGTTTCCCGCGCGGGATCGCTTACAGTCGCTACGTTCGTCGACGAATGGCACATGGTGTACGGAGACATAAAGAGCGACAAACAGCTTTCTGCAGGCTCGCTTACCGGTATCATACAGCCTATGCCCCGATGTCACACGCCGGAATTTGGGCTTCGGTAAGGGATTCCGGCGTTTGTTCCCTTCGTTTGTTCATTGTCGGCAGCTCTTTTCTATGGCTGCCGCAGTAAATACCACAGCGGGTTTACGTTTTGCTACACAACTTTTACGCCACTCACGGTGTGCTCTACAAGCGTATCCGCCACACTATACTACACATGCTATCAATATTAGTGCGAAGATACGACCGGCAATGCGCTCGTATGATCAGGCAAACAAAGGCATGCGAATCAGCTGCACCGTGTGATCACGGTACCACGTCGAAGATTCGCCCTGTGCTCCTTCATTTTCGTTGAACTGCGCCTTCAAATGATCGTCGCAACCGCGAGCCTCTTTTGTCTTGAACTGCCGCTCATCATGGCTCTTTAAATAAAGAAAAAAACACAAAGGCGTCTTATTAACGCTGGTTCTTTATTACGTACTCTCGAAAAATAGTCAATTGTGGTGGTAAAACATGTGGTTGGCCTGCATTTGTGCTCTCACAGTTATCCCGTATTCATAGCTCGTAAACGGGAGAAGTAAGCTAGCCGAAGACAGAGGTGGCAACAATGTTCTAATTGGTACGAGAAGACTGCGTCCGAACGAGCTGGATGAGCCGTCGTCGCTGTAGCTCTGACAATATAAACGAAGTACGTAGGGCAAGGAATGGCTTTCGGTTTTCTCTATCAGCGCCAATAAATGCCACAGTCGTTCTATATCATATGGAGCTTTCGTTGAGGACACAGCTGATAGACTGCGGACAACTAGTGATATCTACGCTATATGTTCTATGCATATTCTGCCGCGGTCACTGGTCAACTGGGTGCTGATTAGGGAACGTCCGCTAGGAAATTTTGTTTGTTAATTTCTTTCTATTATTACACTGCCACACTAACGACAGGATCGAAAAATATGGTCAAGTATCCTTAAATGCTAAGAAAGAATCGAGCGAACCTTTTCATAATTGAAAACAACATTACTGTGAAGTGAAGTAAACAGAAAAAGCAGGTAACTTCTGAGATCGCTACCTTATGAACGATAATATAATTTATAAGCCATCTACTTTTTGCATGAGAAATTTGCCTTTGTTGTATTTAGGTATTATCGAAACATAATGAACTTTAGATGTACACAGGACCTGTAATTCTAGGAACGCTTGACCAAGAAATAAGTGATATTTTGAGATTTATTTTTCTTGCTACTGATCCAACTACGAGAACTCAGCGTGGCGTCACCGGTCTACAGCGCTGCTCTAAAGAATCTTGCGAAACATGGCAAATAGACTATCCTGAAAACTGGAAGAAGACGCTTTGTGCGACGGGGCCTTCTGGTGGTCTATTCTTGACAGAGCTCTCTAGCCGCAAATCCGAATCAGTGCCATCACTCTTGTTACCTCACAAATGAAGTTGTTATATAAAGCTCCTACTAAATGAATTAGACGTTCCTCTAAATAAACGTATATGTCCCGATAAAAAAATCAAGGTAGAGTAATAATATTGTTAAATAATAATTTAAGAAGAAACAATCATCAGTGCGTCCCATGTTGCCCCTGGGCAATTCAAGGCAACACATAAGCTATTACAGTAGCCTTATTCATAGATACGAAAGTACTGCGATCAACGTTTATCAATGCATATTGCATAAATGCAAACAAAACATCGCCTGCAGAGGCGTGCAGCTCAACAAAAACCATCCGAAGTCACAGATAAAGACCTCGTAAATACTGCATAACTAGACCTTCTACGATCCCCTTCCTTGTGGCTGATCTGCGATTGGAGATCTTTCGTTACATCTAGGCTCGAATTAAGGTGTTTTTCAGTAACTAATCGTTGCCTTCTTTGATTACGTCTTCCACAGCAACCCCCATTATGTGTCATGCTATGCTCTTCACTGCCGTCAGTTACAATGACATAATACACTTACTATCGTTTGTACGCTCAACGCGCCATTCCGCTTCAGCCACAATATATACTGCTCGGTGTCTAACGTAATCTATCTATTCTTGCGTAGCAATTTACTTTCCTTAACGTACTGTCGTTGAATTTCTCCAATTATGGGGACGTTCCCTCTTCGCGTGGTGACCACAACGACCTGTCGGTGGTTCCTTGTGCCTGCCTGCCTGCCTGCCCATCTCAGTAGGCTACGACAGATTTGGCGTCCAGCAGGCGTGTTAGTACCGTACTCGAGTTAGGTTCTCTCGTGAACTGACCCTTAAATGCTGATGTATGATTGGTGCCGCAGTTTCACGGCACCTGTATTCTGTTGCGCGAGGCAGTTAATCACAGGCTGGCATTGATCTGGCAGTAGAGAACGCCTAGGACAGAGGAGCACTAATCTTTTTATTTTACTCTATGCATCCAGCAGCACGACGCAGAAACAACAAGGTTTTTACCTACCTAATTTGGCACTCTACGGCAATCCGAGAACAGGACAGCAGTGAGAGATTAAAGGACACCTATGCGCTTCTAAGCCAATGGCCGCGATCAGTTGTTGCGCTAGACGCAATACCTCTTCAACTCGTATACAACACAGGATGTTACTTTAGTTACGTTAAAGAGCTCCGCCATCGATGGCCATGGACATTAACCCCACAACATTCGACGTAAAGGGATATTACACTGAATATGCCTTGTAAAAAATCGAAAGCGAACGCAAGTAACAGAGGATGCTACTGCCACCTGACGTTCGGTTGTGGCACTCCTTCTCATTTTCTAAGCCCCACTGCCTTTGATCCGTCTACCTCTAGACAGCCATCGCATCTTCGATGAGTTTGCACTACACTATATCCTATCAGTAGATACCGGGGCAGTCGGTGAGCGCGGAAGCAAGGGTTTAAGCATTTTGCTGCCTGCCGCAATGAGCGTAGAATCAGCTCACTCAGCGCAGCTCCATAGAGTATCTGCAGTCCTTCACGCTGTTGATTGCGGCCTTTTCTTAGGACTTATTGCACTCTAGCCAAACGAAGGTACACCTCCAGCTGAGAGGGCTGCTGGAACGGAGAGAGTAACGGCTTCGATTTGTCCTAGTGGTTGAGGCTGGCGTTTTCAGATATTCGTACCACTGGTCCAGCAATGTCGGCGGTGGCCAGTGATCTACGTTGACGGCCACTCCCATCTCGTGTTGTTTGCCAACGTTTTATCGGTGCTTGGCTCGTTTGCCCTCATTGATCAGTAAACGTTCACGACGGTTATTTGGTAGTTCTGGCTGCCTGCTGCCACATAATTTTTTCTTGTTGATACTGCCATAGTTGCGGCGGCGGCGGCGGCGGCGGTGAAGGTGGCGTTGCTGCCGACAAAGCTTACACGAACGAGGCCACTCTAGACGGATTTGCCTATAAGCTATATGTGATGCTAGAGTGGATACAGAATAAACGGTGCCGAGCACCCTGCCTTTACTTATTATAGTATCGTGACTATTATGATCAGGTGCATAAGTAGAACGCTATTTCGATTAGTAGGCCGTATATTATATATATTCGTTACGTTTAACAAAATTTACAATTCACTTAAGGACGCGCAAGTGATTAGCGCCGAATAGGACCACCGTAGCAGTAAACGTTATTGTCAACCAGGTGAAAAATTATCTACCCGCGGCATTTTTAACGACGGAAGGGCGTGAAAAGGCTGTAGCTTATGTACACTGTTTTTTCTTTTCACACAGTACTCACGTATATATGGACGTGGAACACAAAAAAGATACATTGTATTGTCGCGTCCTGATGAGCCTTATTTTTGAACGAAAAAGCACAGCGGTCCTTCTACCTTTGGAATAGATAACTGTTGGCTTCTGTACCAGTGGGCCGTTTATCAATTTTCTGCACAACCTAAAAAAAAAAAAAGCCATCCACTTCTAGCTGTGTAATACTTGTCGGCCACTTAATTTTACTTACCGGTGGCAAAAATAATTTCTGGCCACATTCTCCCGTCGCAATCCGTAATCGTATTTGATTTGTGTATAAATAGATGTGAACGTACACACCTTAAAACAAAAACTATTTTCAAAATAGCTCTAGCTAGCTTCTGAGTATCGATTGATCAACGACGATGACGATTTGTTCGTGAATGGAAAGCCTGCCGAGCGTAGATCGCCGCTTCTTTGGGTGTCATATACGAAAAGAGTTTCGCAGTTCCCGTCCAGTTTTCCCTGCATTTGGACCTGGACGACGTGTAAACAGACAATGGAGTTTAATCGTACGTCAATGCACGTCTGTACCTCTGTGTGATCGAAGCTGCATCATTCGGCTCAGTCATAGCAGCAATGGTAGTAGATATAATGAAAAAATAGCAGCCAGCAGTAGTCGATATAAGGCAAAAAAGAAAGCAACTAAATGATTAAGTTCAGCGGTCGCGTCGCTATAACATTGTCTTGGGTGTCGTCGTTGTTGCTGTTGATGTGATCTTGCTAATACGTCCTGGCAACGGACGGGCAGACGATACTAAGCGACGGATTTGAAGAGGAACGCGCCCTGTGCTCAATCCACGGCTTCCGCCTGCAAAACAAGCATCTCGCCACGATATACCGATACACATACATGAGCTTTGCTAGTAAACTATCTGCCGTCGCTTGTAGGTTCTTAAATATAAAAAAGAAAAGACGCTCGGGTCAGTGTGAGGAAACGCTACATCCGAGAACGGCCAGCGCTGATGCTTTAAGAGCTCTATAATCAACAAAATCGTACGCTCACGTAAATCCAGAACGAGATGGAGTACGGTGTCCACGTACGCGCGAAAAAATGAAAAAATGCACGAGTTAGCAATGCCAAACATTGACTGGTCATGCAAGCAATGATGGCTTTTGGGAAGACGAGCCGCCAACTCGATCACAACAATGTTGGTAGTTGCAGTAGCGGGTAAGCGCTGATCACGTAAAGTCAGAAGCAACGGCAATGACGGATATTCCCGCAGGATTCTTCTCTATCCCCTCCTATTACATGTTCTCTCTTGCTGCTACTGCTGCACCTTTTTAAAGAAAGTTATTGTTGATTACTTTTTTCGGTGTTTTTGACAGAAGTCGCACACTCAGAAGTCATCGGATAAGAAAGTCGTTGCAGCCGTTTTGTTGCTGCTGGCGTTTACGTCGACGCGCATTCATGCACATATGGGGTGCTATCGAGTGATTTGAAGAGTTCCCTGTTTTGTTATGATGATCAGTCCAGCGATAGGAGCTTGCTTAGCATTCTGCTACGAAGGAAACAGCAAACAAGTAAGTGCTTAGGATAGCACGTAGCTCCAAGGGTCCTGGCGGTATATCCACGGATGCGATCGTCGTTTCTTTTGAAAAAAAAAAAGGAATGCGTATTATCAGTGTTCAGCTTGGGGGAATGAACGACTGTTCGAAGCCGTGTCGTATACCCTGAATTGGTCGAATGCGCATGCATCAGAGTGTATAAATATATTTATGATATCCATTTGAAGTATATCTATCTTCCCAACCCAGTTGTTATGTTCCGTGGCTGCTTCCATTGACGTACGTATTGCCTTTAATGTCAGACACATTATTTCGTATTTTCCGTATATAGTTAAATACTTTTGACGTTGTTTTCCAGCTTCACTAAAACGAGACTCACTTGATTCGAACGAATATTCTATTGGGCATCCGTAGTTTTCCGGAACTTAAAATTAAGACGTACACACAGACGCAGAACTAGCGCCTGTAGTGTTTTTTCTTTTATGAAGGTGTATCTGATGTCGATGACGAGGTCAGCAATTGAAGAATTTTTTAGTTGACTGAGTGAGCCTGAAGGCAGCGCGGCCGAACGGCCAAGCGGAGACGGGATGAAAAGTGCGCGGTGTGGGAAATGCTCATATAAAAGTAAGATATAAGACATAATAGCGCTTATCAAGCGCGAAACGTTTTTCTCTTCTAATCGTAATAGCCGAAAGGAGCGTCAGCTGTCGCTATCTGTTTTCGAATAAATTCACAATTCACCAGCATTTAGCGGTACGATAAATTCGATAACGGGACAGGTGGACGTTTAGCGACGTCAAAAAAATAGCGGCCGGCCAACTGAGAAGAGTCGAGCTGGGTATACGCACATGGGTAATACACAGAAACGAAACATCTGAAACGTATCATAGGTTTTTCTCTATTTGTTCAGCGCGCAGCAACAACAGCGGCGGTAGAGCGACGGCCCTTTATTGAAAGAACGTTTGCTGTTATCGGCGTCTTATTGTTGTCAGTGCTTTGGAAAAGCCATCTCCTGCGTCCGTAAATAGTTCAACTTTTGGGTCTGATCTAGTGTATATGTCTAGTGTGATCTGCGTCCCATCTTTCAACGGGATCGGGCGATTTTTTCCTCGAATATATCTTCGTTGCCTTTACTGTGTTGTGCACTCTTCGTGCTCAACAAGTTAACATTGGCATTGTGGAATGGAGGAAACAACTGAAGTCTACCTGACACTAACACGTAGAGTCCGCTGAACCGCGGAACCGAATCGAAAATTTAGCTACAGTCTATACCCACTTACCGAAGGAAGCGGTCTTGAAAACACACGGGTGCAACAAAAGGGAACGCAAGTTGCATCGGCACAACAACAATAGCAAGGAGGACGTCACCAAGAACAACAATAACAACAGCGACGAAGACGGTGACGGCAACAACGACAACCAGACGAAGTGCAGTTTCTGAAAAAAACACGGATAGACAAACAGACACTGGTTAGATAGGACGCGATTCGCACACTTACCTTTCATCCTTCCACAGGGGTGCTAATCTTCAGATTCCGTACGGCGCAGTATAATAGTAGATCGAATATACGTTCGACTGTGCAGACAGAACTCTTTTTCCGCCGAAAGAGAGAAAAGTGGGGAATTCAAAGAGACAAAGAAGAGGCAACACTGATACACGCTGAAAACGTAACAGAAGAAGAAAAAGGTGCGAGATGCGATCTTGATGCGTGAAAGTAACGCTTTTAGACGCGCCACGACAACTAAGGCGGCGGCGGCGGCGGCGCCAGCAGCAATCGAGCACCATAAAGAAGCGACGGGTAGGCGCGATCGCTAGTATCGATAAAGGCGACGCGCATCACACCGCACATTCAGCAGATATTATTGCTATTATACGGCGAGGGCCAGCGCTGCGGCAGTCCGGTGGACCGGCAGACCAATCCAACACAGAAAGAGATGTTCCAGGCAGATAGCAGTAGACATCTGCTGAAATGCCATAGATACGACGGTCGGCGTGGGGGGAACGGTTGACTATGGGAGGACGGATGTTTACGCAGCGGAAAAAAAGAAGAACAACCTACCCAGCCGCTCGATTGGGTCCAGCCGAATGTACCATTCGTATGAGGTTCGCAGCAGTCGTGATAATGGGAGCAACAGCATGACTAGGTCGAAAAAGATCCGCATCAGGAAGACCGAGCGGTGAGCGGGACCAAGCCACTGCAAATTATGAGACAACCGCTCGTCGGCCGCTGGGTTGTCGTCAGCTGGAATTTCAGGCAGTAGATTGGACCCACGCGAGAAATTACTGCCGTAACGTCTGTCTACATACTGTATTGTACTAGCTTTTGCCATCAAGATGTGTCAGTCGACAAGTTATGCGCAGACAGGCATAGAGAAAGAAGCATAATACAACGACCTAAGAAGCGATAAGTTGGTGGATCGTCGAAGTGCTGCTGTGGGTGAGTTCCTTGATAGCCTTCGTTGATGGCAAACGATGTCGGCTGTTAGTACATACTTATGTTTAGAGACTTCACAGTAGTAGATTGTATGTGGATCATTCGAGAAACATGAATATCTTATGTGAGATAAAACTGCTACCGATCCTGCGGTCCTGACTGCGTCGAATTCACCTTGAGATACACGTAACGGTCAAAACTGCGCAGCGTTTGGTAATAAACAAACGGTACGTAGTTTGAAGAACGTCCATGAGCAAGGTATTGTTCTAATAGGCTTCATAGTAGGCAAACGTGGCACGGCAAGCTACAGGGAAGCTTATGCTCCTCACCAAAGGCTAGGAGTGACTACTAACGAAAAGCACAGTGAAGCACTTCAACTTGAGGGGACGCGATCCCCAGGAAGGGAATAGGAATTGATGGTCGATTCGATTAAAACCAGCAAGCTAGTACAAATACTGTGACACGGCAGCTCCTCTAGAAATCAAAGGGCCGCCCTCGAAAAGAACAACTCTCAGCTCCTACGGTAGGCGCCTACTCGACAAGCACTTACGTGGCTGTGTTGTTTCCATCTGTCTCTTGCACTGTCTGCCTATATGTGGTACGCTTCTATTGTGTATACGACTAATACAAATGTTCATCTACGCTGAGCCTCTACGCAATTGGATTGCCGCTCCACGACTACACTCATCATTGGCTACATGAAGCCGCCTTTCGTACCTGCCGCGCTAACGTGGAAAGGCAACAACGCCCCCGGCGTTAACAAAAGACTATTCAAAAGGACTCCGTTGATGAGCGCATTGTCGACGCGCAAAAAAAGAAGGCCTGTCCCGCTCTATGCCGGCTCCCTTTTCTGCTTTTTCGTTCGGCCGATCTCACAAGAACATTAGGATCAAAGCTCTCGCCGCCAACTAAAAAGATCCGTCCGTCTGCTGCTGCTGCTGTCCATTGTATGAGCGCGCGTTTGACATTAAGTCACACCGGTATAGATGCTGGTAGAAACAGGCAGATAGGCCGCTAAGTAGGTAGGTATCTCATTCTACGTTGTTTCCTTTTCGCCAGGCATTTACTATAGATGCAGCTATGTGCACTCGATGTAGGCACGCATCGAGCCAGTCATGCTGAGACCGCCCGGTCCGCCAGTAAAGGTGAGAAATCGAAGGCGAGAGGATACAGAAAAAGCAGAAAAATAAAAAGACGATCGAAAGTAGCTCAAAGTGTCGATACCGCCAAGAGCACCCGCTGCCGCCCATCGAACTGTACCTGCCGTCGACTGCGGCCACTGATTATACTTACGAAAGTATTGCTTGAATTGGGCAAATATTCAGGTATCGGCTTGCTCGGATTATTCTCCCATAACAACACCGACAGCGATTGCGTGTGAAGTTAGTTCGAAAAGTCTGATAGACTGGCTAGGGAGATCGTGTAACATTGCATGTGTGCGTACATTGAGCTATTGGTATATCGTGTTCTGAAGTTAAATTTTTGTTTGCAGTTAGACAAAGGGTAGAGAACCGCTTGCAGCGAAAGAAAGATAAACGATAGGCGGTTCGTTATCAGTGAAGTCATTGGAGACTGTAGGGGCTGTGGCAAACTCGTCCTGTCGGTGACGGGTGCAGCCATCTGTCATCGCAACGAGATGAAAACGCGACGAAATAAGATTTCGACGAACAATAAATATTGCTAAACAGTGGGAGTTGTTGTATTGTTGTTGTATTGTTGTTGTACAAGGTTTGCTATGAAACTAGTTAGACAGAATTACGAGTAACGTGAGCAGACATGGCGGGCCACAGATGCGGCAAACTCTTCTACCTACATCTATCTCGATTTAAGCCATTCGTGCAGGTCTACCTTGTCAGGTGTCGGCATCTCTTAACTTGACTAACAACTTCGATGGTTCAAGAGGCACGTGCTGCATTGGCGATCCGGCAAGATTTAAATCGTTGTCTGGGGCTGATTTGCGATTTTGCTATGTAAATCAGTTCCTCATTCATGAAAGACCTCAAATGCCGCTTCTGGGAAGCGATAGCCACAGAAACTACTAATCATCGGTGAGGTAATATTGCGACTCTACTAGGGGAGAAACAATACTGATAAAATTAATCGAAAGACAGTTCCAGTTCATAAAGGTTAGGAGCATGAACGGTGGCGGCGGAGCGATAAGGTCCTGAAAAGTTCGGTTCTACTTTTCGGCTAGTCGAATTGTATATATAGTGCACCGTCTTCCTAACTGGATTCGCCAGTTTGTGTTCAGTGTCGAGACCTTCGTAAATTGTCGTCACTTTGCAATCTTCATTGGAATTAAGACTTAAGCGAATGTTACGTGCTAAGTGGTTTACAGATCTGGAAGAAACGTGGAGTTTCGGATAGAAAAACATATTCAAAAATGGCCATGTGTCTTCTGACAGTGAAACCTACTGAATTTACCGCCGTTTCAGCAGTCGTTGCAAGAGAGCTTGCTGCGAGCTGTATGATCTAACAACAATTTCCTTTTTCCTGATTTAGAGGTGGATGTTTGCTTTGTCGATTGTTTACTTTCAGCGCATGTCTGGTACCCTCGAGTTTGGCACCTTAATGGGGAAGGAAGGAGGCAACCAAACTACTACTGATGATGAATGGCCCCTGAACAAACTTTGTGCGTTTGTCGTCAGTCATCTTAATGTCATCCCAACGACGAATAGCAGCGTATTTATTGTTATACATTTTGCTTCGGTAAAATTGAACTGCCTTCACCGGTGTCCCATACTACAACATCATCCCTAGCATTGTCAGCCTCACTATAGTCGCCTTCATCGTTACCTCGATTATCCTGCCACTGTTCTACCCTTCAGTTCTCTCTATGCTTGCCGGCCGGGGCATCCACAAAGGAATTTCCTTCAACTGTCGCTATTATCAGCAGCAGGCGGAAAAAAAATAGAAAAAACACAAGGAGAATGTATATAACTCACATAAATGTAAACAAGTAGACATTTTTGATCTACTACCCGGACATAATCCAGTGGATATCTTCAAAAATTTGCGTTACCGGTAGCTACTCTGCCCATGTAGCTACGTCATAAACTAGACACAATGCAGGAACCGCTTCAACAGCTACAGTCAAAAACACTCCGACGTCTTCTACTTCGACGACTGAAACGATTGGAGCCTTGATTTAGGCTAGGGCAGGAAAGTCAAGTAAAGTAGTAACATGAAGGACTCTCGTCGGTTGAACGTAACAACAAGATACGGTTGCGCAAAAAAATACAGCCTGCGGTTATCTAACATTCTCATATGTTAGCCATTGTAATACTCGCTGTAAGAGTGTAGCTAACGTGTGACGCAGTGATTTCGACGTCAAGTTCCACACGGTAACTGGGTGTTTAGACGTCGGGGTTTATGTACAAGAGGTAAATACACAGATTATTATAGAGAAGAGCGTGCAACGAAAATATCAACAACGAGCATAACTAGTAATAATATCGAAACTAAAGCAACAACGCTGATGTCATTCAGTAGAAAAGACAATTCGTGACGAGGCCAGCCAGGTTAGCTCGGTTCTCTATACGGTTCGTTCATCTTTTGATGCTGACTGCCGTTCACCCTCACCTATCCTCATCACACCCCAATGCGAATTGAGAACTATCGAAGTAAGCTGTACACAGCCAAAGGAGTAGAAATAAGCTAGATAGCAACGAGAGATTGTGGTATGAAAAAAAAATTTGTGGTGGTATCTTCTCGAGTTCGACTGTCTTCGTTGCCGTTGTTGTGACCACCGCTGTCTTCGCTATTGCTAGCATTAATCGACCGCTCGCCTTCGTCTCTGTCGAAGTCGGTTAACGAATCTTAGTTAGACCGTGGACGAGTCTAAGTTTGACTGTATATGCACGGATATCCAAATGATCGATATGTTCAATCAGAAATCCGGAAGATTTTTATAGATTCCGTACGTACTTAGGGTATACAAGCATACGGTATGGTTTATAAGAGTACACTATAAGCCGC